TAGATCTTCGACAGATGATTATAATGGAACGGTATTTGTTGGCTGTTGAACAATGAAACGAACCCAAATGGGAACCCGAACAGGGAGCAATGGCTACTCCATTCTTTGGAGATGCCAATGCAAGAAAAGCATCCAATACATGGTGATTTATGCGTAGAGAAACAGTGAGAATCTGCGCCACATTTAGTGCTGTACAGAATATTAATAAATTTCTTCAAAATCTGGAAATTCCTTTCAAAGAATTTTTAAAATTTATTTTATTAATTTATTTATTATTTATTATTTAATTTATTAATTAATTTTTAAAAATTCCAGAAATAAAGTACATATTCCACTGGATAAACGTTTTATTCCATGGCAGGAAACAAGGAATCCATCCATAAAGCCCCAGCCCCCAAACCCACACCAACACACAACAAGTACTAATATTCCGGGGGCAGCTGTGGCATGGCATGGGGCACTCGGCAAAGGGGAAAACTTTTCAACAGGCCCAAAAGAAAAAGAAAAAGAAAACCAAGCTCGAGAGGTGCGACGCGCTGCATAATCTCCGGCTAAGGAGGCTGACGCGATGCGGAGCGGAGCTGAACAAAACAACTTTTACATGCATTTTTCTGGGGCGACGGCCGGCAAGTCGAGTGCATCCTTGAAGGGTTTCCCTCCCTTGCCGCTGCCAAAGCAGGGCAAAGCGAGTAAACTTCGTTTAGGCCAGATGTGGCCGAAGTATTCGATACCCTACCAGCAGCATATGTTATTTATTTGTATGGAAAAGACTTGGCCTCATAAATGGCGATAATTCTTTTGTTTATAAATAAATAATATCCGCATGGGTATAGGGCAGTGCAGGGCGCTGGGAAGATCAAAAGCAACGTGCCAGAGCGGGTGTTAAAGTATGAAAGAGTCTCTCCCTCTCTCAAGCTACCACACACACACACACACAGAGAGAGAGGGAAACCCCAGAGAGAGAGAGAGAGAGAGTACGAGAGAGAGGAGAATCCGTTGACAATGAAGAGACAACGATAAAGAGACCCCTCCCTCCCGGCACACCCATAAAGTATTTTTATTTTTATTATTTTACATACAATTTTGACTTCTATGCCTGACGATGGGACCATAAGTCGCGCGCCATCGAAAAAGACGGCGAAAAAATGCAAGAAATATTGATTTGATCGAAGCGAAGTTTATATACCCTAACAGTTATAGAGTATATATAGAGTTTCCAATGATTTATTGGAGTTTAATATGTAGTTTAGAGATGTTTTCTTATATAGTATTCTGTATTATATAGTATTATTCACAATTCTACAAAAGAAAACTCCTAGACTAGTTTTCCTATAGGATCTAAAGGCCATATCCCTCACCCAATAATATCATGGCCAACATCGGGATCGTATGATAGGTTCAGTGATATTTTTGTTCAATATTTCATGCGGGAAAGACCTGTAGCGAAGACTGGAAAACGAAAAACAAAAAGAGAAAAAACTATGCTAAGATCTGCTCAACATGATGCTACCCTCTGGGAGTGTGTGCAACATGTTTACAAAAGGAAGCCAGCCGTCCAGCGTTTTCATATACATATGTACATATGTGTATACAATACGAGACAACATTCTGTAAATATTTTTTGTGTGCTGCCGCTGTCGCTGTCTCTGCGTTGAAAGTCGTGTGGCTCTCTGTGGAGGTGCGCGGTGCGTGGTGCGGGGTACTTTAATTAAACGATGCCGCAGTTGGAGAGCCACCGGAAGCGGCTGCCATGGAACTGCCATACACCACGCCGATGATGTTGATTCGATCCACGAAATTACAGTACTTTTATGAGATAATCACACGGATTCTGGCGCTTCCATTGGCCGAGGAGCGGAGGGGTGGGGACGGTGTGCAACTCTTGGCCAGCGGCCAGAGGCGGACGTCATGCATTTAGCGCCGGGATCCTCCGCCGGCGAGTGTAGTAAGGTGGTCATGGCTATGTTGACGTAAAGTCTTTAAATATCCACGAGATGAATATTTCTGGTCAGCCGCTTCTGCTGCCACTTATGTCACAATAGAAACGCCTCTCAAACGAATGGGTGGGGTGGGCTGGCGTGGGGCGGCGACCTCCGCGGGCTAATCATAGAATACGTTCATAAATTCCAACTATCTTACTTTTGTTTGTTTACCCAATGCCAACAGGGTTGTCTGTGTCTGGGACTGGGTCTGTGCCTCCGTCCGGTCTCAAGTGGAGTTGCAGTTGAGTTAATTAGTCGTCTAGGACGGAGAACGAGGTTCAAAATAAGCTGAGAAAACTGAAAAGAACAAATACCCTTTCCGGCGCTGTTACTTTTGTTCCCTACATCCGCTGGAGATGAACATAGTGTAAGAAAACCAAGTGAAAGACCATCAAAAGTTTATCTTTTGTGTATTCCGGTCCAGGAAGAGTCCAGGAGAGAGGTGGTGTTGAAAATACTCAACTTTAAGGATGATTCAGACAGAAATGGCAATCAATAATCATAGTTTTATCTCAGATTCGAAGAGACCCTCTTTCGAGCTGGTTCAAGTGCCCGTCTGCTGCTGTAGACTGTGCCTCCACCCCCCGAAAAGAACGATATTTACGAGTCAAAAAAAAAAATTGGCGACATTGAAAAGAAGTGAGTTTCAAATTATTGTAGGGCATGAGCATGACGCATCGCTGCAGAGGGAGCACATTGGTTTTTCAGTCGGGGAAAGTGGCAAGCCGAGGGGCGAAGCCCCCGCATACATTTCGTGCACATTTGGTGCACAGCACAGCCCCACACGACTTATGGCGCACAGTGCCGTCGATAAGCGAATGGAAAATCGTGTATAAATACAAATGATTGTCGGAACAAAGCATTAAAGCAAAGCTCTCGCGAAAGCTTTCGAATGGAATCCGCATCTGCCGCAAACTGATTGCAAAACTAAAAACTAATCCCCATCCGTGGTGGGCGGTGGGTGGTTGGTGGGGGGCCAGTTTTCATGTCTCACGAATTGAGCAATTAAGGCCCCCGCAAATTGATAAATGCCATAATTAAAGAGGTGTTTTCGTTTGATGAAAAGCCAAAATTCCAGATTCCAATCATCGATGCGCAGCGTTGAATAAATAAATAAACGAAATAAATAACTGCGATATCTACTATCTCTTATCGTTTGTATCGCTGCCATTTGGGAATGGTTCAAGCCGGGGAGAAACAAACAAATACGATGGCAATAGATTGCAATGTTTCGCCCATGAGATACCCAATAAGTACCCCGGTTTTTGTAGCCCTTTGCATTCCTCTTATTCGTGACTCTGGCCATAGTTGTTGTCTCTTTTCTCAAGGATCTTCTTCCATCAGATGATTCTATTTCATTAATAATACATCCCTACGGAGTACGGAGATGTTTTTGTCAGAGAAATCCCCTTGATTGGTTTGTGCCCCTCGATGAATGTATATGCCCTTGTCCGATTCGAGTAGGAGGTGGTATCACAATAACTACCGTTATCAGAAATACACACATTTTATCAGCTACTCTTTTGCACTCAACACAAACACCCATACCAACACATATATACCGTACAGCCATACAAATACATATACATAGGAGTATACGAACGATTGAGTCACTCACCTGTGTGTCATTCAGTATCTCCAAGTGCTCTCCCTTGCGGAAGCTCAGATCCTCGTCGGTGCGGGCATCGTAGTCGTAGAGGGCGACAAATATCTTGGCGTTGGCATTCGCAGGATCGCTCTCGGGTATCTGCGGCACGGGACGCACCTGCTCCGACGGCTGGCCGATGGGCATGGCTATCTGTGGTACACTCACCACGCCAATCGCCGTGCCCGGATCCTCCAGCTTGATGCGATCGACATTTACTTTGTCCGTCTCCCCCTTCTGTGTGGTTAGACAGTTGCCCATGGTTGCGTTGCGGAGGAGCAGGAAGAGTGTGTTGCTATCTGCTTGTTGTTGCCCCTGTCCCCTGTCTGTGGGTGCGTGCGTGCGTTTTCCGTGTTAAATGCAATGAATGGAAGCCAAATTGCAGCTTGTTGCGATTACGTTTACTGTTACTTTCACTGCACCCGTACCCCTGCCCGTGCCCACAGCAGTGCCCGTGCCCCTCGCGCCTTTTGTTTATTGTTTATTTGTTCGCTTGAGATCCAGCACTGGGTGTTGGCACTTATCGCTCCGCTCTCGCTCTCTCTTGGTCACTCTCTCGCTCTGTCTCCGTTTCTCTGCTTTGCGGTGCAACTCGGTGGCGACTCCCAACTTGTAACTGTGATTGTATTCGTGTTTTCCTTTCGACGGATGGACTAACTAATTTAAATGCTTACACACACGACGGTCACCATGCATGTGTACGTATGTATTTTCTTACTTTTATCTACAATTGCACTCGTGTGTGTGTGCGTGTGCATGTGTATATGTGATGCTGGAGCTGGCTAGCACTCAACACAACGCATTGTTACGTCGCTGACGCATTGGAAACAAGTACAAAACACAGATTAACTATTGGAACACATTCACGCATTATTTTTTAACTGTTCGAGCACTCGCGTTCACATTTTTAACTTAATTATTGGCCTCTTTTTCATCGCGTTGTTGTAAAAATTGAGATTTTGCAGCAGTGTGACCGCGGACCTATCGAACAAATACACCTCAAAAATGTACCGAAATATACCGTCTCACTTTAAAAATATACCGAAGAATATACCGGTGTCTAAAACGAACTTAACCCAATTAAGCCCCCTCTATTTAAACAGTTCAAAGACAACACATTTCCCCTTCAGGTGTCGCTTTTGGTAATACACAAAAGTGTAGTTAATATGTAGCAAATGTGTATGTACAATGTAAATACATGAATACGTCGGTATTTTTTTTAATTTGTGACGTATATTCGGTATATTTCTGAGGGTCAGACCGTATATTTGGTCACACTGTTTACAACCCTAAAGCTTGTCCCGGCGTAAAAAGAAAATTTGCAGAAAAAAAACAACAAATAAATAAGCAGAAACAGTTATTGGAGAAAAAAGATGGATATCAAGTCTTTTCTTTTCCAGTTTTGTGCGAAGACTCGCACAGAACCAAAGCTGGAAGTGCGCCAAACGGGTAAGTGAAGAGAATACATTTTAGCCCCCCACCCGGCTTCTGAAGCTGGTGTCCCTCGGTCCTGATTTTGCATTGCAATTAATTTTCGCAGGGCCGAAGAATCGCCAGCGTTTTCTGTGCGAAGTGCGTGTCGAGCAGACTCCCTATATCGGCGTGGGAAATTCAACCAATAAGAAGGACGCCGAAAAGAACGCCTGTCGTGATTTCGTCAATTATCTGGTGCGCACTGGCAAACTAAATGCCACTGATGTGCCAGGGGATGGGGGTGCTCCGGCCCCGGGACGAACTCCGTCGCATGGCGATGGTGCTGGCGGAAGCGGGCATCGCGTTTTCGCCAACGAATCGGGGCCACAGGACCTGGGCGAAGCGTACCGACCCCTGAATCACACTGGCGGCGGCGGTGGCGGCGCTCTCGATCGCTTCAACATCATTGACCATGTGCAGGAACAGAAAGACATGAACGAGGCAGAGTCCATCGACGTGAATGCCGCCATCCATGGCAACTGGACCATCGAGAACGCCAAAGATCGCCTGAACATGTACAAGCAGGCAAATAATATTCGCGACGACTACAAGTACACACCAGTGGGTCCGGACCATGCTAGGTATGTGCACAGCACCACTACAAGTATTTTCTGTTTGAGTGTGTGCGGTTTTTTTTTTTGGTTTTTTTGTTTTTTTTTTTTTTAAAGCTGCGTTCTGGATTTGGAATTTATTTCTTTTCCAAGACTGGAACGCAGCCAGTAGTACTGAAACACTGTGCGCAATTCGTGAGGAGCCGAGCCGGCAGAGCGACGTGGTACGTTACACTAATCAACTGCGTTCTGGGCAGCCTTGCATGAGGTCTGTAAGTGCCACGGACCCGCGTGCAAGGCGTAGGAACGCATATCGCAACGCAATCATGGGCATGGGTTTCGGCCTTCAATTAAGTACCACATCGCTCTGAAGCTCTGAGAGGGCTCTGTCCACGGTAGCGCACAGCTGGTTTTATTGTGATCAACCCTGCCGGTAAGTGACCAGTCGACTGGCCTTGTCTATAAAAGAAGAGGGTTCCTCCTAACACCTTTGCTTGCCTCACTTTAGGAGCTTTATGGCCGAGCTGTCGATTTTCGTGACGGCCCTGAAGCGCAAGGTGACGGCCAGGGAGACGGGCTCGAACAAGAAGTCGGCCAGCAAGTCGTGTGCCTTGTCCCTGGTGCGCCAGCTCTTCCATCTGAAGGTCATCGAGGCCTTCAGCGGAACGCTCAAGAAGAAGAAGGAGGAGGAGCTGAAGCCTTACCCAGTCCGGCTGGCGCCAGAGCTGGTGAACGACATAGACAATGTGATCAAGATGCTGGATCTGCCCGTGGTTAATCCACGCAATATCAAAGTGGAGCCAGATGGTGCACCCATTCCCCTGATTGTAAGTAGTCCCTGAAATAATGTGAGGAAAATCTTGACTAGGGTTTGGCTCTGACTCTGCGTCTGTACAGGTCCAAAGCAACATTCTGGACTCGCAGCATGAGGGCGAGAAGCGTCAGGAATGCGCTGTGATTCCATGGGCACCGCCCATGCCCAACTGGAACACATGGCATGCCTGCAATATTGACGAGGGCGAGTTGGCCACCGCCTCCATCGACGACCTCTCCCTTGACTTCGAGCGGAGCATCCTGGATCGGCGCCACAACGATAGCGAGTACCAGCAGTTTCTCGACTTTCGCGACAAGCTGCCCATCGCGGCCATGCGCTCGGAGATACTGAGCGCCATCAACGACAACCCCGTGGTGATCATACGGGGCAACACCGGCTGCGGCAAGACCACCCAGATAGCCCAATACATCCTCGACGACTACATCTCTTCCGGGCAAGGCGGCTACGCCAACATCTACGTAACCCAGCCGCGTCGCATCTCGGCGATTTCGGTGGCTGAGCGGGTCGCCCGCGAGCGCTGCGAGGAGCTCGGCGACGCTGTCGGCTATTCGGTGCGCTTTGAGTCCGCTTTTCCCCGACCTTACGGCGCCATCCTCTTCTGCACCGTGGGCGTGCTCCTGCGCAAGCTGGAGGCGGGCTTGCGCGGCGTCTCGCACATCATTGTGGATGAGATACACGAGCGAGACGTGAATAGTGATTTCCTGTTGGTCATATTGCGGGACATGGTCGCCACCTATCCCGAATTGCATGGTGCGTACCCAGATGCTGTGTGTAAATCCTTTATTCAAATGGTTTTTTTTTACCCCACCAGTCATCCTTATGTCGGCCACCATTGACACCACGCTTTTCTCAAAGTACTTTGGGAATTGTCCCGTGCTGGAGGTTCCGGGCAGAGCCTTCCCCGTGCAGCAGTTCTTCCTGGAAGACGTGCTCCAGATGACGGGCTTTGTACCCTCATTGGAGTCGCGTCGCAAGCGCAAGGAGGCTGACGACGAGGAGCGACTGCTGCTCAGCGAGAACAAGGAGGATGGGGAGACGAACTGCAACAAAATCTGCGAGGACAAGTACTCGCAGCAGACGCGCACCGCCATGGGCATGCTCTCCGAGTCGGACGTCAGCTTCGAGCTGATCGAATCGCTCCTGTTGCACATCAAGTCCAAGAACATACCCGGCGCCATTCTCGTCTTCCTGCCCGGCTGGAACCTTATATTCGCCCTGATGAAGTTCCTGCAGACCTCGAACCACTTTAATTCCCCGAAGTACCGCATCCTGCCATGCCACTCGCAGATCCCACGCGACGACCAGCGCAAGGTGTTCGAGCCGGTGCCCGAAGGCGTCACCAAGATCATTCTGTCCACCAACATTGCGGAGACATCGATCACCATCGACGACATCGTGTTCGTGATCGACATCTGCAAGGCGCGCATGAAGCTATTCACCTCGCACAACAACCTCACCAGCTACGCCACGGTGTGGGCCAGCAAAACCAATCTGGAGCAGCGCAAGGGACGGGCGGGAAGAGTGCGCCCCGGCTTCTGCTTTACTCTGTGCTCTCGGGCCCGTTTCGAAGTCCTCGAGGAGAACCTCACGCCGGAGATGTTCCGCACGCCACTGCATGAGATGGCTCTGACGATCAAGCTGCTGCGCCTTGGGGCCATCCATCACTTTCTGTCCAAGGCCCTGGAGCCGCCGCCAGTGGACGCCGTGATTGAGGCGGAGGTGCTGCTGCGCGAGATGCGTTGTCTGGATGCCAACGATGCGCTGACGCCACTGGGCCGCCTCCTGGCGCGCCTTCCGGTCGAACCGCGCCTCGGCAAGATGATGGTGTTGGGCGCTGTCTTTGGATGCGCCGATCTGGTCGCCAGCATGGCCTCCTACTCGAGCACCTTCTCGGAGGTGTTTGCCCTGGACATTGGGCAGCGTCGTCTGGCCAACCACCAGAAGGCCCTGAGCGGGCGCAAGTGCTCCGATCATGTGGCCATGATTGTGGCCTCCCAGATGTGGCAGAAGGCGAAGCACAAGGGCGAGCAGGAGGAGAGCCGCTTCTGCGAATGGAAGGGTCTGCAGCTGTCCACCATGAACGTGATGTTCGATGCCAAGCAGCAGCTGCTCGACCTGCTGCAGCAGGCCGGCTTTCCGGAGGAGTGCATGATCCCGCACCAGGTGAATGCCAATGTGGAAGATCCGATACTCGACACGGCGCTGGCCCTGCTTTGTCTGGGCCTCTACCCCAACATCTGCGTGCACAAAGAGAAGCGCAAGGTGCTGACCACCGAGTCCAAGGCGGCCCTGCTGCACAAGACCTCGGTGAACTGCAGCAACCTGGCCGTCACCTTCCCCTACCCGTTCTTCGTCTTCGGCGAGAAGATCCGCACTCGCGCCGTCTCCTGCAAGCAGCTGTCGATGGTCGCGCCCCTCCAGGTAATGCTCTTTGGGTCGCGCAAAATCGATCTTGCCGCCAACAACTTGATACGCGTGGACAACTGGCTTAGCTTTGAGATGGAACCGGAGCATGCTGCCATGATTGGCGCCCTGAAGCCCGCTCTGGAGGATCTCATCACGATTGCCTGCGACAAGCCGGACACTGTGTTCCAGCTGGAGGAGCCCTACGCCAAGCTGGTCGACGTGGTCAGGGATATTTGTGTGCAGGCGGCTGGAGACTTTGGGCTGCGACGTGAGGAGGGGATCTTGCCGCATCAGTCGCGTCAAGCCGCCTTTGGCGTTGGAGGTGGTGGACCGGCAAAGAGAGGACGCTTCGAAGCAGTTGCTCCAGGAGGAGGGGGAGGGCCAGGCGGTGGACGCGGCGGGAACTTTTCCAATAATTTCGGAGGCGGCTATGTCAAGCGAGAATTCGGGCCCCGTAGAGGGGGAGGCTTTGGTGGAGACGGTGGAGGCTTTGGAAATGGCCCAAGAGGAGGTTTTAGAGGTGGAGCAGGCTATCGTGGCCGTGGAGGCTATAGAGGCGGCGGAGGCTATCGTGGCAGAGGTGGCTGGGGAAGTTGGGGAGGAGATAGAGGAGGAGGCAGCTTTGATGGCAGTAACGATGGTAATGGAGGCGGAGACTATTTCAGTGAAGGGGGAAGCACATTTGGTGGCAGTACCTTTGGCGGCGGATCCGAAGCCGGCGTCAGCGATTGCAGCACCTGGGGCAGCTTCGGCAGCGGCTTCTAAGAATACATGATACCAAACGCCGACAGCAGGGGTTCGGAGTATTAGATTTTAAATATTACATTAATATTTGACAAATAAAAAAAGTTGATATATCGCCAAACGGTTTTAAGACTCATCGTTTGCGCCGTCAAAAGCTTGACTCAATCGGAACTCTTCCTGAATCTTCAAAATCTGGTTCCAAATCTCTGCCGCTTTACTTTCACATGAATTTCACCGTTATGCGGAGAGGTATTTTAGATTATCGCTCCGTTTAGCCGATAGGGGAATGGAGGAGCTTTATTGCTTCATTGTCGTAAAAATAGCTCCTCATAAATTGAGTGTCATTTATTTGCTCTAAATGCATTCGTTTTTTTTAAATTTTTTTTTTCAAAAGGAATACCGGGTTCTCAGCGAAAATATCGATAGAACAGTATTTTTGTACAATATCGAATCTACTATCGACAGTTCATGGTTTTACCAATCCTACCTTTTATTTCGGCGCATATATTTCATTTACAGTTGTGTCGGTCGTTCCATTGTTTTATTTTTTCTATATGCATTCGTTTTTTCTTGAGTTTTTTGTTTCGAATGGAATACCGGGTTTTCACCGTAAATATCGATAGATAGTTCATGTTTTTTGCCATCCCTAGCATTTATTTCGGCGCGTATATTTCATTTACAGTTGTGTCGGTCGTTCCATTTTTTTCTTGTTTTATTAGTTTTGTTTTCGAATGAAAATCTAAGATGGACTTTGACACCGCAAAGGAAAACATCCAGCCTTTGGCCAGCGGTCGCAATGTGAGCTTGCTGCAGGCGTCCCTCGCCCAGGACCCCACACAAAGCCAGGAGCTGCTGGCGCAGCGCAAGCAAATGGAGAAGGACGTGCACACATACACTGGCAGTGATCCGCTGGAGCCGTGGTATATATACATCTGCTGGATTGAGCAGAGCTATCCGGCGGGCGGCACCGGTTCTGGCCTGCAGACGGCCCTCTACCAATGCCTGACCAAATTCGAGCAGGACGAGCGCTACAGACAGGATAGGCGGCTCATCAAGCTCTTCATCAAATTCGTAAGTTTGGCCAAGTATTTGCCAGTTCATGGAGTAATTCTCTGTTGGGCTTCAGATGGAGAAGCAGGAGGATCAGATCGAGTGCTACCAGCAGCTGTACAACAGCGGAATCGGCACAATGCTGGCGGACTTGTACATTGCCTGGGCATACAGCTACGACCTGAGCGGCAACATGCGCAAGGCCGACGAGATCTTCCGCCTGGGCCTCTCCTGCCGGGCCGAGCCGCTGGAAGAGTTGAAGGAGGCCCATCAGCATTTCAACTACGCGGTTGCTCAGCGCATGCTCTATTCCGATGGTGATGAGGCCAATGCTGTGAAACAAGAGCTGAATGAGCGTCGTCTGGCGCTGCAGTCGCTGCATGGTCAACGGAAGAGAAGCAGCAACACCATCACAGTGGGCAGTGTACGCACTGGTGCAGCGGTCAAGAGCCAGATGCCGGGCGTGGTGCAGGTGAGTGGAGGTGCCTTCTACAGGAATGTCTGACTGCAATTGTTCTCCCACAGGCGGATGCTCCCAGCACAAGCCGCATGCGCAATGCCGGTCGCAATGTGGAGGTCTTCAACGATGAGAACACCGATTTCAATGTCCCGCCACCAGTCGAGCCGGAAGTGAAGTCCAGCTTACGTTCGATCATCGACGCGGCCCGTGGTCAGGAGAATCTTAAGGAGCCGGTGGCTTGGAACAAGGCCCACGCCAAGCCTCACAAGCCTGGCAAGATCTTCGGCTGCAATGCCGCTCCAGACCTGGCCTTCGACATACACGTGGATGAACAGAAGCTGCCGCCCATCACCAACTACGAGCGCCACATGGACAAACCGTTCAAGTTTCCGCCCAACTTTGTGGCGAAAAATAAGCCGCAGCAGGCCTGGATAACGCCAGTAACCATTGAGGATGAGCCCAACACAAACGGCCTGCCGTGCTACCAGAAGTGCATGCTGTACCCGCGCCCCAACCTGGAGTTCTCCCCAGAGGAGTACCGCGCATATTGCTTCGTGAAGCGTCGAGATCCCCAGCACGCATTCGTGCTGCGCAACGATGAGTGGTGGGGCACGGGCAACACCTTGAAGGGTGTGCGTCGCTATCCGAATTTTGCTAGTGTCTCCAAGCCGCAGCCGCTGGACGAGTTGGACAAGTACTACAAGCCGCCTCCTGTTCCGGGTCTACAGGTCGTGTTTGACAAGCTCTACAACGACGAGGAACAGCAGGAGTACCAGGCGGAGGAGCTCCTGGCGGCCAAGTGGCTGGAGAAGCGGAATGTTACGGTGCACGGCAGCTTTGACATGGAGGAGACTGTATGCCTGCCCGGCAATAAGATGCCGCGTCGCAAGAGCTTCTTCCCTCCAGCCCAGCAGGGTTCGTCCAGGAAATCCATGATGCCGCCACGTGTGTCCATGGTCCAGGAGGAGGATGATGCCGTCGAACAGGAGACAGCTGCAGCTATAGCTTCAGTGCCTTCCCCTCCTCTAGTTGTACCGCAGCCGAAAATAGTGCCGATAGTGGAAATCTTTGAAGATTCGGATCCAACTCCCGTCCCCAAGGAAGATGAAGATAACTTTGCGATGCCTGCCCCACCGCTGCGCAAGATCGAGATATACCAAGATTCAGAAGATCCGATCCAGCCTTCGAACTTAAAACCCCCCAAAAGTGCCTTTTTCGATGCGGACGAGACCTGCTCCACCCAAATGTTCAACATGTTCATCAAGAACCAGGCGGTGAGCACGCCCAAGGGCTCCCAAAAGCAGGCACCGGCGCGACAGTTTGGCACCGTCCTCAAGGAGCTGCCTACGGATCCTGAGGAAGCTGTTTCTCCGGCAGCTGCGCCGGTCGAGTCCCCAGGGGAGACCCGCTCGCCGAATCTGCGCAAGCAACTCTCGACGATATTGGAGACCTCGGAACACGGCACCCACAGCTCGGCGGCCACGACGACCAAGTCCACCATTACATCCACATCCAGCTCTCCGGGATCTCACACGGCCGTGGCGCTCTCCAGCCGGAGTGCGAGTGAGGAGTGCACTCCAGCAGCAGCGCGCCTGCAGCGTTTGGGTGCCTCTGAGCTGTCCACAGTCGGCGAGGAGCCCGAGCGTCAGTCTGGTGGTAATTTTTCGCGTCGCGAACTCTGGGAACCCAATGCTCCCAGCGTGCCGATGATGAAGTCCCTGCGCTTCCAGGAGGACAAAACCGAGACCATACCGAGGCCGCTTGCCCGCTTCCAGGAGGATAAAACTGAGACTCTGCCCAGGCTTCCGACTGTCATGGCGGAAGTTTCGCTCCATCAGCGCTCGGCGGTTTCTGCCTCGAGCCTGGCCCCGCAATTGCCCACGCTGGATGACGAGGACGACTTGTGTGGGCTGTTTGTGCAAACGCCGCCAAAGTTTAAGACAATCGGCTCTCCGTTGCAGGGAAATGCCGGCGCCAAGCGGGTCTGCGATCAGACCACGCCAGATTTCTTCGGCAAGTCCATACGAGTGGCGCCGGATGCCAAGAGTTCCTTTGCGATGGCCAGTGGCCAACCGGCAGGCGCTCCCAGCATCAGCAAGCTGGCGGACTCGTTTATGACAGACCTCTCCTTTGTGGCGGAGACACAGCCTGTGCCAGTACAGTCCATCTGCACGGAGATGGCGAAGCCGAAGCCAGAGGCCGCGGCCATGCAAAAGAAGTTTGAAATTTTTCTGGATGAGACCATGCCTGAGCCAGCCGCTCCTTCCAGTGCTGCTGCCCGACGCAGCAGCTTTGCCTTGGACTGCACGCTGCCGGAGACGCAGATGCCATCACAGAAGGATCCTGCCCACTTGATGGCTGATCTGAGCGTCTGTGCTCCACCGCTGCCTGTGCCAGTTGCGGCCTCTGCTTCCATAAGCAATCATCGCTCCTCTACTACTCTGAAGTTTCTCAGCGATTCTATGTCCAAATCCCTTAGGAAATCCCCCAAGAAGAGTGTACCCGGTGGGGACAAGCAGTCGGGCGACTTCTTTGAGCTGAATGCGGCCACAGAGATGTTTGCCACCAACATAAGCATGATCAGGAACTCGACGCTGTTGCCGCCACCTGTTGCTGTTCCGCCCAGGCTAGAAATGCCTAAAGCGGATGCGGATGCGTATGCAAATGCAGATGAAGAGGCGGAAGAGATGAGCATCTACCATAAAACGACTCCATTGACCCCAAAGCAATCGAACCGTTCTTGGGCTCAGGCAGATTTTGAGATGCCGCAGAACAAAGAATTTGTCCATCCCAAAGCGAACGTGGATCAGTCAGTGCTGAACAGTACGATGGCCGACAGCAATTTGAATCCGTTCAATGTGGATCTGATCAACTCGCTGCTGGACTCCATCGACTTCTCCATGTACATTGAGAAGCTGCCCCATTGCCAGCTGGTGGGCACTGCCAAGCGACTGCATCCGGGCACGCAGATGGAGGTGCACGGCGAGAAATTCGAGGTGGAGAAGATCATTGGGAAGGGAGCCTACGGCTCGGTCTTCGTCGGACGGCACTGCAAGACGGGTAACAAGGTGGCCGTGAAGCAGGAGCGACCCACAAACTATTGGGAGTTCTACATAGGCCTGGAGGTCCATAGTCGCCTCACCAGCGATCGAATGGTGAGTGGTGGAGATGGTGAAACCTTGTTAGTTCCTTCCCTGATTTCCTACGACTTCTTACAGATCCCAGCCTTCATGCACATCGATTATGCCTTGGTGGGGAACAACTCCAGTGTCTACATATCGGAGTTCTCGGACTACGGCTCGCTAATCAACGTGTGCAATAAGATCAAGAAGCACACCAACAAGAACGTCGACGAGTATGTTGTGATGCACATGAGCTGCCAGCTGCTGGACATTGTGGATCATCTGCACGCCATGGGCATCATTCACGCGGACATCAAGCCGGATAACTTTCTGGTCATGAGACCGTAAGCGTCTTACTCTCGCATACTGCTGTCCCGCTTACTTACTACTCCTCCGCTCCCTGCAGGTTATGTGCGCAACCCAACGAGCTGAGCCTGCAGCTGATTGACTTTGGCGTGGCCATCGACACCAAGCTCT